CATTATGTCTAGTGGCCAGCTTTGGATAGCGACATAGATTGATGGGGTGGTGCCCAGAGTGCCAACAAGGACAAAAATTACCGCCAGCAGCTCCTCCATGTATGTGGGAATGACCGGGTGAACCCTGGACTCGGCTACACATCGACTATGACAGCCCTTTCATGGGCTCAGTGTTCCTGGTCGTTGTGAATGCCTGTTCAAAGTGGTTGGACGTGCATAGAGTTCATTTGTCAAATGACGATTGAAAAGGTGCAAGTATCATTTGCAGTACACAGAATTATTGGTCACAGACAATGGGACATCATTTACCAGCAAGGATTTCAACCATTTCCTGAAGTCCAATGGCATTCAGCATGCTTAGACAGTTCCATACTATGCTTTGTCCAATGGTCTGGCGGAAATAGCAGACCAAACGTTGAAGGCAGGCTTAAAGAAACAGCCTACAGCTTTGCTCGATACCAAACTGTCCTGGTTCCTGTTTGATTATAAGTCCACCCCTCGTGTAACTACAGGGTTAGCTCGACAGAGCTGCTGATGGGGTGGGGGGCAGATTCCGAACCAGGTTAAGCCTGATATTCCTGGACGTGGGTTGGGAGAGGGTGAAATGGCACCAGGAATGCCAGTGCTGGTCACATGACAGCTCTAAGCAGGAGAGGATGAAGTTTGGTGTTGGAACGATGAAAATGGTCCAGCATTGGTTTGAGGCATGGTCAATATGAGGTCAGGTCCTGTGTCATACAAAGTTCAGATAGGAGAGGCAATCCTGAACAAACACGTGGGTCACATGAAAGCTGCTACCTTGCAAACAGGGCAGGAGCAAAATATACCTGGCCCCTCAGAAAAGCCCGAAAGGCTTTCAGAAACAGTGGGTTCTCCTCAGTCTAGCGTCAGAGAAACTTCAGAGACCGAGATGGATGTGGCCGATGTCACAGACTTGATATCGTTGCTGCCTGAAGAGGCGGAGGAATTTCTTCCGTGACAGGCAATTGTCCAGTACATGTAGCCCATGTCCGAGTTAGAGTTGGAGGAACCAGACCTGGCATAAAAATGTCCCAGGAGAAGCTACAAGATGATGAACAGGCCTACATCCCCATACTTGGGGAAGAGTGATGTAATGATTGGAAAGAGGTTGGACAGGTGGAACTCATTAAGTACGAGTTCCCTGATTGGGGCTGTTAACCTCGGCCAATCAGGGCGTCCTGGCTGACAGACAGGAAGAGGAGTCTCAGTCTAGGGACAAGCTCTGAGCTAGCTGGTCAGAGTCCATGTACTATGCACATGTAAGTAAAGGGTGACGGGATACTAGCATCCATGGAGTTATTTCATCTCTGTTTTTCAAAACCGATATACTTCACATCAGCAAACTTGGCCACCTCTGAAAGCATTGCAGACTTGCTGTCTCCATCGGGCAGCTTGCAAATACAGTAATTTACTGCTGCAGCTAATGTCCTCTGCTTTGAACAGTGTTCTGTTCAAAATGTTCATTTAAAATTCCTGTCTAGCCAATGATGATATATTTTTGCCTAGAAATACTTTTTATTTAAAACAAAGTTACTTAGTATAACCAGGAAAAGAGTAGTTAAATGTGCGCATCTCCACCTTTTAAAACGTAGAGACTGGGGCATTAATAATGGGCAACAAGCAAATGGCAGGGGCTTCTAAGAAGTAATTTGTCATCTTTGTGGCAGTGTACTCAAAAGTCAAGCCAAAATTACTGGAAAATCAAGAGGCAAAAGGAGGAAACTTGAAATAATCATTGCTAGTAGTGAAATGAGTAAAGAGAAAATTAAAACTTGAAGCTGAAAATTGTTTTGAATCTGGTAGCCTGCAGAAAAGAAGCGGCTGCTGAAATATAGCTCTACTTCTGAAATTTCCTAGATTTTGGGAAGGTCCATGTAGTTTGGAAATACGTAAATGTAACACTTCTGTTCAATAAAGGACAATATAGGCCAGCTAGCTGAATGCCATTCTTTGAGAAAATGCTAGAATTAATTATTAGAGGTAGTATCCAGATATTGAGAAAATCATAATACATTTGGTGGAGTTGGGCTTATATTTACTGGGATTCAGAAGAATGAATCTTATTGAAATAAACAAGATTTTCAGGGCAATTTACAGGGTAGGTGCTTGGAGGATGTTTCCTAATGTGAGGGAATTTCAAACTAGAGGAATAGTTTAAAAATTTTGTAGCCTTCCTTTTAAGGTGGAGATGAGAGGAATTTCCTTGACAAGAACTTTGTTATCTTTGGAATGCAGCACCCCAGTGAGCAATGGAGGTTGGGTCATTGAATAGATTCAAGGCTGAGTGAGTTAGAATTCTGATGAACGTGGGTGGCGAAGGTTGTGGGGAGCAGGCAGGAAAATGGAGGTAAGTCCAAGATCAAATCATCAATGATTTTATTGAATGATAGAGCAGATTTGAGATCTTAATGGACTCCTGATCCTATTTCTTATGTTTTAGCCAGTCCAGGGATATCTTGTTTGTTTTCTTAACCTGTCTACAGTGAAGTTTTTACCTGAATATGTTAGCTCAACTGCATTTCACTTGCTCAGAATTTGTGATATCATGCGTTTTTGATTGCCATTTTCTGTTAATGTGTCAAAAGTCTACCCAATTCTTCTATCATCAATCTTTCTCAATTTAGACACTGACAGCATTTCTTCCTTGACTGGGGAAAAAATTGACGTTTCACACTGTTGGTTCTTATCTTGGTCCTTCACCATCATTTGTATTCAGTTTGCGTGGAGTTAGGGCGGATGGCAGTGGCCAATCTGCCCTCAGGAGAGGGATTGGTCCTTAAACGTATCTTCATTTTAATGACACATTTATTTTTAATATCTGCAGGTCAGGTTTCCCGAGATTCAGGAAGCTCAGCAGCTGAAGTAAAATGTGAAGGGCCAAACCTGTGAGGTAGATGCTTTCATACCATGGCTTGTGGGCTAGGAGAAGCTGCTTCTCACAAATGTCTTACAAATTTACTTCTCACTCACTCATAATAAAACCATAAATTCCCCTGTGTCGTCTGTTTGACTCCCAACCTCTGTGATCTGCCCAGTCTTGAAAATCCTGGCTTCCTATTGCTTGCCATTTTATCAGCAGACCCTATTGAAAAAGTTGTTGAAGACCTGGATCAACTGGGTGTAGCATGCATAGTGCAAGCTGTACCCAATTGATGATGAATTTTGATTGGTTTTAGAACCAGAGTTAGGTTCTCCGTTATATATTCAAGTCACCTAATATCTCTTCCACATGGCCACTTGTAAGTCACCAGCTTGCAGTATGGCACATCACATTTGGCAAGATAGGATGCCAAAAGTTTGTCTATGAAGTATAAGACTGCAATATTTGGTGCATAAAAATAAGATTACTTTGAGTGGTACAGTCCTGTAACTGAATTTAAACATATAAATTGATACAAAAATGAAATCAAACTAACAATGACAGGATGTGCGTATCTCCAGAACAGAAACTGATGTTTACAATCGAATCTAGTATCAGAAGCAGTCAGAGAATATAAAGATGCAGAGCTCTTGTATATTGTTTGGAACTTTACTTAGTTGGCCAATTTTGATGTTCTAAGTAAATTAGGTGCAGAATTAATTTATTTAGCTTCCGTATCATCTAATTTCTACTGATCTCCATAATAAATGGCCTCTGGTGTTGCTCGGGAATTGCAAACACTGATATTTTGTTCCGTACGTATGTAAGTAATTCCAAAATATGGAGGTATTTTGTTCACTTCAGTACAGTTACAACTAGAGATCAATTTCACATCTCATTCTATTGAAATTGCATTAGAATTTCGAACAACGTACTTTTGAAGGAGCCTAGGCATTGATCTAAATTAACATAGGTCAAGGAATAAATCATTGTTCCCATTTGAGCCTGCTTGTGTTTAGTCGAAGTTTGTAGTTCATTTCCTATCTGTAAGATGACAGTATTTTCACTGTGCTGCAAATGGGGATATTGCTGTGTCTGTGGAATGTTTTTTGCCTTTTTAAGCTGCAGCTGCAAACCAGATTTGGTGTTCGATTTTTATCTCCCAATATAATCTTGCAAAAAATGATTAAACCTATTTACCCTATTATCTATCTTAGGATATTTAAGAAAAATAAATGCAGCACCTATATATATTAATATATTAAATGTGTTTCACTACAAATACAACCTTCAGACCAGCACTTGCTTAGAGTGATGCACATTTCCTTGCTGGTTCAATGAAATGAAATGCTCCATAGATCGAAATGTCATTGCGTACAATAGAGTGGTGTGTACTACATCATCCTTTTTGGAAACTGTTTCCTTTGATTGCGTAAAATAAAATGATGTGCCTTTTATTAATTGGATAATTCTAAATGACAGTTTTTAAAATTAATTTACAGTTTCATGTAAATATTTCATTTGGAATTTAAGTTGTGTTCTTAGAAAAATTAATTCAACGTAGTTTTTATGTTGTGAAGACAAGTGTCAGGAAAAGAGTGGAGAGCGATTTTATTGTTTTATGTTTACAACAGCATTGCAGTTTGCCAAGTAAAGCATTAGTTGTTGTGTACCAAAGTACTTTGTCTCAAGTTCATACTAATTTGATGTACCTTCACTGTCACATCATTAAACCTTTTGAGACTACCATAAGTCCCTTCATTGACACCTGTTAACTTTGATTACCATTACATTTTATAGCTGCATTTGACAGTTCATAATTGACGCTTAGAACAATGACATGCTGTTCTCCTTTCCTGAAGATGCAGACTGGCTCTGAGATCTGAGAGGCAGCAGCAGTCCTTTTGTACTATACTCAAACAGCAACTGTTGACAGTTTATCCTTGGCACAGTGATGCTGCTGAGTCTGCTTCTGTTTTCATTCAGAGCTGATATACACATACTTTCCATCAGCAGTCACTTGGATAGCAATCAAGAGCTTGGGGAAAAGAAAAAAACAGGGTTTACCTAACTGAGAAGAGGATCCGGTGTTATCAGTTTTAATTTTTTTTTATTCCAGGTTGCACATTTCAATCGAGCCAGAGGCAATACAGAGCATTGCCTATCTATGTGATGGTGATGCAAGGGCTGCATTAAATGGACTTCATCTTGCGATTCAAGCAAAAGTTGCTGAAGCAAAAAAGCCGCAGAACAATTTTGCACAGAAAAGTACTCTGGCAAAGAAGATTTTAATTAAGGAAATGCACATAAAAGAAGGACTTCAAAGGTCTCACATATTGTATGATCGAGCAGGTAAATTATTTATAAAGTGGAATGAACTGGTCTATCCATAAACTAAACAGTAATTCTTGGTTTATTACAGAAGATGCTGGAAATATTCAGTAGGTCACGCAGCATCTGTGGAGATATTGCAGTGTTGGTCCAATCATGGACAACAAGCTGAACTTAAGTGGGAAAGTGAGGGTGACTGCCCTTGACATAAAAGCAGCATGTGACCAAATGTAGCATCACGGAGCTCATGAAATCCATTGAGAAGCAGGAGGCTAGCTGTCCACTGGTTGGTATCATAGCTATCAACAAAAAAGATAGTTGTGGGTTAATCATCTCTACTCTCAAAGTTTCAAAAATGACCAGAAGCCTTGGACAGAGATGGGTTTTAAGGTGGGTCTTGGGAGAAGGAAAGAAAACGGAGGATTTTAGAGGGGGAATTCCAGAGTGCTTGAACACTTGAAGCCATACTGCTAATAATAGAACAAAGGGAACAGGAACAGACAAAAGGACAAATTCAGAAGAAATATACTTCAGGGCTGGTTTCAGATTTGAAGGTGTGCAAGAGATATGGATGGATGAGGACATTAAGAGATGAATGCTAAATGTTGCCAGTGAGAATTTGAGTTCAATGAAAACAGTCCAAAATGTTCAGGTTTTTGTAATGTTTCCATCTCTATATACCTGGCAACATGTTAGTAATTCTGTGTGGTGTCCTCTTTACTGCATCGACATCAATCAAATGAATAGTTGGTAGAAAATTATTTTGATGAAGGAGGGAAGAATAAACAACTAAATGTTTTATTGAATACCATAAATGCACTGTTAAAAGTGGAGCAAAAAAAGTTGTGATTTGCAATATAAACGACTGAGCACTGTTTTGGGGAGGAAGCAGAAAATTGTTAGAATTTTGCTTATGTTAAAAATATCTTGTGTCACTTGTATTACAAATACATGTATGAGGAATTATACCATGTAGCCTCAGTAAGGCATGTAATTATTTTACCTCTCATCACATTTTTGATTAGATGGCCAAACATACACAACACATGGAATCATAGATAGGAGCAGGAGTTGGCCATTTGACCCCTAGGGCCTGGTCCATCATTCAATATGATCATGGCTGATAATTGAGCTCAGTACCCCAATCCTACCCTTCCCCCCCCCCCCAAATCCCTTGATCCCTTTAGCCACAAAACCTATATCTATCTCCTTGAAAACGCATTATGTTTTGGCCTCAACCATTTTCTGTGGTAGACAGTTGCACAGACTCACCACTCTCTGGGCGAAGAATTTCTTCTCAGTCCTAAAATGTTTACCCCTTATCCTTAATCTGTGACCCCGGTTCTCAGCTTCCCCACCATCAGGAACGTCCTTCCTGCATACACGTACTATGCTCTGAGCTAAATAATGTCATTGGAAGTTTGAGTATAAGCTAGTCAGTTATCATAAAATTCCTGCTTAATTCTCAGGGGAGGAACATTATAACTGCATCTCGGCACTACACAAGACGATGCGAGCTTCCGATGAGAAAGCTGCCCTCTATTGGCTTGCAAGGATGCTAGAAGGTGGTGAGGATCCATTGTATGTAGCACGGCGACTGGTGAGATTTGCCAGTGAAGATGTAGGTATGGCTTTAATATAGCACTATTGAATATTTCTTCTAGTTATTCCAAGTCTTTGAATTTTGGTAATGCTTGACAAGAGAGCAGAAAGAAAATATGTAAAACTGACTGAACAAAACTCATACTGATCTCTGTGCAGCAACACCCCAGCTGATCTATTACAGATTCCTGGACTGACCTTGGCCCATTCCCCAGACTGTAGTGATGTGGAACCCCAACCCAGCAGCCAATTGATCACGTCCACACCCCTGGGCTGAGATCAGATGCTGGCCTTGACTGACTGTGGTGGGTCTCCCAACTGACAACAGCCCCCTTGACTTAACTGAAGGTGACTACCATTGGACTTTGCTTCAACCGAATGCCATATCTCTCATTCTATGTACTTGCTGCCTGAGGTGCTGGCATATGTTGTTGGTATGACATTGACTTAGCATTAGGGACATACGGGCACATGTTTGCCCTTTTGACTGATCACTGCTGACAGGTATGAAAAGTTGCATGGCTTTGTGTCGATGTCAAAAAGCAAGTCGAGACAGAAGTGCTGTGAGCCTGTAAGTTCTGAACGAGGTGCAAAGCATATAGAGGCAAAGAAGAGATGTTGTGAGCATCCCATCTCGTCGTTCAAGCTTTGGGTGGAAAATCAGACGGTGTATTTTTTCTTCAACATCAAGAATTTCATTTCTCTGATCTTATCATATTTTTCCACTGACTTGTCATTTTCCATGCTGTTCAGGAGCTGGGAGAATTCCACCAGTGGTTTATTAATTTTACTCATTAATGTAGTTGTATAATTTTTAACATGAGCTAAAATAATAATGCATAAAGTATTGCTTCCAAACATTGAGTGACATACTTTGTCCTTGTGTACATGTTATTTGCTTGCTGCCAAAGATAGATTTTCAATTTGAGCCCAGATCAAGATGGAGATTGCAGATTGGATGTTGATGGTTGGAATTAAGACACATCCTGGTTCCACCTGGATATATGCCCTATTTTCTTCATACATTCATTTCATAATGTGGGATTGGTCACTGGGGCCACTCAGGAAATGTGCTTAGTACAACCATATAAAATTGCTGTGGAACTCATCAGCTAGGAGCTGTTTTGAGTTCCAGTGAAGCATTTTGATGATAAGTATTGGATGAAGCTTTCGTTGACTTGCAGAGTCCTCAGAGCACACGGAGGTTAGCAACGGTACCTAATAATTGTTACCACATCCCAGGAACAAATTACGTAGAACAATGAATTGCTTTCACCATCAATCTCTTCTGTGTTCAGGGAGCTTCTGGTACACCAGCCATATCCAAGATTTTCGTTAAATGTTGTGCTATTTTATGCACACCAGTGGAGCAGTAGAACTTGCAGATAAGTTTAAATGAAAGTTCCCGTTCGTTTGCCTAATCATTGCCCTCCAACTGATGATATTGAAAGATTACACTTCTGATTTCGGAATTATCCATTAATGTATCAACTCTTATGAGATGTCCTTTTTGGTAGACTAGCGTTTCTTTAGACATTTTTTATTTTATTTTCACAATGGTTCCACAACTTCTGTTACTTTTTCTTTTGCTGACTTGCCCTCATTTCCAGTACACATTCTAAAATTTTTGCAAAATTGTAGTAGCGAAATTAAGGCATCAGACACTGAAACCATCTTTACTTAAATCTCTGCAGTGTAACCATCTTGTATAAATACACAAGTGTTTAGTCCTGTTAGAATTTCTAAAAAATGGTACATTAAACTCAGCTGTCATTTGTTGATCTTTTATAGGACTAGCAGACCCTTTGGCTTTGACCCAGGCAGTATCTGCTTACCAAGGATGTCATTTTATAGGGATGCCTGAATGTGAGGTATTTTAGTATTTTATTCTTGTCTGTGTATTTATATCTGGATTACAATAACTATTGTGGGTCTTCTGAAATCATGTTCTTTTATAATTCTTTATCTGCTTTTAAAGAGTATCTGCCAGATTCTGTTTCCACCCTCAAATTGGAAATTGTTAATAGCTGCAAAGAAATTCAACATGATAACTTAGATTCCAAATGATGTGCTACTGGTGTAGTGGTTCTGTAATATTTAGTATGACTACTTACAGCCAGCTAACTGGTGGCCTAAGGACCATTGTACCATACCATCCCAGTATGTCCGAAGCTCATGTTTAGCACAGTCCCCAAACAATTATACAAATATAACTTTTCTGGGCCAGGACAAAGATGCGATACAAGATACCGTTGGAGGCCAGGCAGCAGCAGAGGAGCAGGAAAGTTGACGTTTCGGGTCGGGACCCTTCTTCAG